TGCCCTATCGTGCCAGTTATCAAATTTTAAAATTGGTTTATTCAGCCGCATCAAATGCTAGTTACACTATGGCTTCAAATAAAGCAAATTTAGTTATTAGTCAAGCTGAAGTTAATGAGGGGACTGCTGGAAAGAAATTAAAACCTCGGGCTCGCGGGCGTAGTTATCCAATAAAAAGACCGACCTGCCATATCACTATTGTACTAAAAGATATTTCATTCAATGATTCTGAATCCGTGGAGCTCGGTTTGCTAAAAAAACCACAAGCGAAAAAAAATTCTAGAACTAAAGCATATTCTGATATCCAGAAAAGGAGGTATTTATGGGACAAAAAATAAATCCACTTGGTTTCAGACTTGGTACAAACCAGGCCCATTATTCACTTTGGTTTTCGCAACCAAAAACGTATGCTGAAAATCTGCAAGAAGATCAAAAGATAAGAGCTTTTATAAAAAATTATGTACAAAAAAATAGAATCAAACCCTCGGGTACCGAGGGAATTGCAGGTATATGTATTAAAAAAAGACTCGATCTAATCCAAGTCATAATCTATATTGGATTTCCCAAAGTATTCATTGAAAATAGCCCGCAGGGAGTTGAAGAATTACAAAAAGCTCTACAAAAAAAATTAAATTTCGTAAACCGAAAACTTAATATTGCTATCACAAAAATTGAAAAACCGTATGGAAATCCTAATATTCTTGCCGAATTTATAGCTGGACAATTAAAGAATAGAGTTTCCTTTCGAAAAGCAATGAAAAAAGCTATTGAATTAGCTGAACAAGCAGATACAAAAGGAATTCAAGTACAAATTGCGGGACGCCTTGACGGAAAGGAAATTGCACGTGTGGAATGGATAAGAGAAGGAAGAATTCCCCGCCAAACTATTCAAGCTAAAATTGATTATTGTTGTTATTCAGTTCGAACTATCTACGGGGTTTTAGGCATAAAAATTTGGATATTTTTTGATCAAGCTCAATAAAATTTTATTCATTCTTTTTACCTGTAATACCGAGCGGCCATTTCACAAATTATTTTGTGTAATGAGCAGGAACAGTTCTAATTGATAATAATGAATTCTATAAGGTTGAATAAAAATTTTATTTATTTTTAATAAAAATATCATTGCTATGCTTAGTGTGCGACTCGTTTATTTTTTAAGGTTAGCATGAAACCAAACCCAAAGTAACAACTACTAACTCGAGAAGAAATTACCTAATAATTAACTCATCAATTTCGCATTATCTGGATCTAAATAACCAGTCACGATATGATTACCGCTCATATCGTTGTAGCAACTGCCATTTATTTGCATAAACGAAAAATAGTATTCAAATATTATTGAAGTTGCGAAGCAAAATATAAAAAAGATGTGGATAATTGGAAGGGAGAGAGAAAGGGAGAAAAAGAAGCTCAATGATTGAAAATTCCAATATGTAGGGTCTAACAAAACAGGCAATGTAATGAAGCATTAATACTTAAATTCTGCATATTAAAGTATTTAAAATAGAATAAGAAATCTAAGAATATTCAATAATAAAAAACAATATACTCTTATTATAGAAATCTATAATCTATATATAAATATTCAATTAGATATTAAATATAGAAGAGATAAAATAAAAAAATAAAGTCAAGAGCTTAAAGCCAATAAAGACTAAGAAAAATGGCTAAAGACTTAAATTATTCATATATTATTACTATTTGAGCTCCATTGTAAAATTAGGACCTAACCATTAAGTAAGAAGTGATGGGGACGACGGAACTTATGAGAATACAAAAGATTCAATTCAATTCAAGATGAAATAAAAAAAAATCTTAAACATTCACTGGCTGGGATGGCGGAATAAACCAATGTTAAATTATTTTATTTCTAGATACTAGCTATAAGATGTCACAAACTCGTCCTAGAAATGAAATCTAAATTGACAGAGTCAATATTCGCCCGCGAAAACTTTTTTCAAAAGAATCAATATTCAATCTAAAGCAATATAAAGAATAGTCAAAAATGAAGGATTAGTTAGACTCAGAGAATCATGAAAAAACTGTAGAATAATTCATTTCAATTCAAATAGATTTAAAAAAAGATCACTCAATCCCTAAATATTATTTTGACTTCTCAGTCCAGACTTTTATTATCTATCTTTAGATTTAGATATCTTCACTATGATTAGTCAATTTGAGTCAAACGCTCATTTTGTAAATACTTTATTCGTAATTCGCGAGGAGCTGGATGAGAAGAAACTCTCACATCCGGTTCTGTAGTAGAGATGGAATAAATAAAAATCCATCAACTATAACCCCAAAAGAACCAGATTCCGTAAACAACATAGAGGAAGAATGAAGGGAATAGCTTCTCGAGGGAATCATATTTGTTTCGGTAAATATGCGCTTCAAGCACTTGAACCCGCTTGGATCACATCTAGACAAATAGAAGCTGGGCGACGGGCTATGACACGAAATGCACGTCGTGGAGGAAAAATATGGGTACGTATATTTCCCGATAAACCAGTTACTGTACGACCCGCAGAAACACGTATGGGTTCAGGAAAAGGATCCCCTGAATATTGGGTTGCTGTTGTTAAACCCGGTCGGATACTTTTTGAAATGGGTGGAGTAACAAAAAATATTGCCAGAAAAGCTATTTCAATAGCAGCATCAAAAATGCCGATACAAACTCAATTCATTATTTCGGAGATAGAATAGACGATATAACTCTAGAACCAACCCAAAGAATCTTAAGAATGAAACAAAAACAAAAAAAAAAGAGGTTTCGTTTTATGTTTGTGGACAAAAAATATTTCTTTTTTTCTTCGCCCTTTGCATTGTGAAAGAAAAGAATAAAAAAAATGCTATGATTCAATCCCAAACCCTTTTAAATGTAGCGGATAACAGCGGGGCTCGAAAATTGATGTGTATTCGAATAATAGGAGCTAGCAATCGTCGATATGCTTATATTGGTGACATTATTGTTGCTGTTATCAAAGAAGCTGTACCTAACATGCCTCTACAAAGATCTGAAGTAGTTAGAGCCGTAATCGTGCGTACCTCTAAAGAACTAAAACGTGGCAACGGGATAATAATACGATATGATGATAATGCCGCAGTTGTTATTGATAAAGAAGGAAATCCAAAAGGGACCAGAATTTTTGGTCCAATCCCCCGGGAGTTAAGACAATTAAATTTTACTAAAATCGTTTCATTAGCTCCTGAGGTATTATAAAAAAAATTAAAAAATGGAGTAGAATCTGTCTCACGTATATAACTTTAAGATTAAAATAAAGTAAGATAAACACAATAATCCATAGACAATAAAAAAAACACGTTGAGAGTAGAAAAATTTTTAGCTCCATAATTAGAGTTCATCATGGGTAGGGACACTATTGCTGAGATAATAACTTCTATACGGAATACTCATAGGGATGGAAAAAGAACAGTTCGAATCCCATCCAGTAATATTAACGAAAAGATTGTAAAACTCCTTTTAAAAGAAGGTTTTATTGAAAGTGTGAGAAATCATCGAGAAAACAACAAAAATTTTTTAGTTTTAACTCTGCAACATATAAACACTAAAAAAAGGACCTTTAGCAATATTCTAAATTTAAAACGGATAAGTCGACCCGGTCTACGAATGTATTCTAAGTCTAAAAAAATACCTAAAATTTTAGGCGGGATGGGGGTTGTAATTCTTTCTACTTCACGTGGTATAATGACAGACCGAGAAGCCCGACTGCAAAGAATCGGGGGGGAGATTTTGTTTTATATATGGTAATATTTTCAAGATGCCAATTAGGTAGAAACTTTCCATTTCTATGATTCCCAAATGGGATATTTTAGAATCTAATGAAATCCCCATTCCTTATTGCTTCTAGGTCACTGAAATAAAGAATAAAGTCCTTCGGATGAAAGAACAAAAATCACTTTCCTTTTTTCAAGAATTTTTTTATTAAGGAATCCTTTTCAAATAGTATGTTCTGGTTTTCTTTTTTATTGATTTAGATAATCAACTAATAAAGTAATAAAGATTGGATTATAAGTTCTTTTTGTGAAAATAGGCTAAATTCATTTTTAGTTTAGACGGATAACTTCAGAACAAGTCGATGAAGCTTTTGCAACACAACAATGATTCAAAGGAGTCATTTTTAAACTTAGCTATCTCTTTGGCAAAAATAACAAAATTAGAAATTGAAAATAAAAAAAAAAATGAATGTTTTTATTATAATCTTCCAATCAAACCGAAACTCTAAAGTAAATTTAAAAGAAATGTAAGGAGTCTGAATATGAAAATAAGAGCTTCTGTTCGTAAAATTTGTGACAGATGTCGATTAATACGGAGAAGGGGACGACTTATAGTAATTTGTTCCAATCCCAGACATAAACAACGACAGGGATAATAAGACTTCGCAACTTAACTTAGTAACTAAACCAATTATAGAAATGAAAGAATCGTGAAATGGATATATCCATATAGTATATCGCTGACTCAGATTTACAAAATGCTTAATGGTAAAATATATATCGAGAATTAGTTCGCGTAGGAAGGGGGGACGTATTGGTTCACGTCAGAATGCACGTAGAATACCAAAAGGAGTAATTCATGTTCAAGCCAGTTTCCATAATACCATAGTGACTGTTACAGATGTACAGGGACGGGTAGTTTCTTGGTCCTCTGCCGGTACTTCTGGATTCAAAGGAACCAGAAGAGGAACACCTTTCGCTGCTCAAACCGCGGTAATAAATGCTCTTCGTAAAGTAGTGAATCGAGGTATGCTACGAGCCGAAGTATTTATAAAAGGTCCCGGTCTCGGAAGAGATGCAGTATTACGAGCTATTCATAGAAGCGGTATATTATTAACTTTTATAAGGGATGTAACCCCTATGCCACACAATGGCTGTAGACCCCCCAAAAAACGACGTGTGTAGAAATCAAAAGTGAACCTATATCAAGAGAAATAGAAGATTCACTAATATACTAAATCAAAATTTTTATGGTTCGAGAGAAAGTAGCAGTATCTACTCGGACACTACAGTGGAAATGTGTTGAATCAAGAATAGACAGTAAACGCCTTTTTTATGGCCGCTTTATTCTATCTCCACTTATAAAAGGTCAAGCCGATACAATAGGAATTGCGATGCGAAGAGCTTTGCTGGGAGAAATAGAAGGGACATGTATCACACGTGTAAAATCTGAGAAAGCCTCGCATGAGTATTCTACCATAGGGGGGATTCAAGAATCGGTACATGAGATTTTAATGAATTTGAAAGAAATTGTATTGAGGAGCAATCTATATGAAAGTTGTGATGCGTCTATTTGTATCAAGGGACCTCGACATGTAACTGCCCAAGATATAATATTACCCCCCCATGTACAAATTGTTGATAACACACAACATATAGCTTGGTTGACGGAACCTATTGATTTTTTTATTGGATTAAAAATAGAGAGAAATCGCGGATATTTCAACAAAGTGGACCTTCACTTTGACGATGGAAGTTATCCTATAGATGCTCTCTTCATGCCGGTTCAAAATGCAAATCATAGTATTCATTCTTATGGGAATGAAAAACAAGAGATACTTTTTTTGGAAATATGGACAAATGGAAGTTTAACACCAAAAGAAGCACTTCATGAATCCGCCGAATATTGATTGATTTCTTTATTCCTTTTTTCCAGATGGAAGAAGAAAACTTATATTTAGCAGATGCAAAACACACAATTCCCCTACCCCCCCTTATCTTTTATAATAAAGTGACTACACTTATAAAAAAAAAAAAGAAACTTTCATTGAAATTAATTTTTATTGACCAATTAGAATTCCCTCCCAAGATATATAATTGCTTGAAAAAGTCAAATATATTTACATTATTTGATCTTTTTAATCAAAAACAAGAAGATCTTTTAAAAATAGAACATTTTCAACTAGAAGATATAAAACATATATTGGGGATTCTAGGAAAATATTTTGCACTGTATTGATTATAAACTTAGGTTTAATTAATAAAAAAAATAAATTGAAACATTCATGAATATGAATTGACGTGTATCTAGGAAGAACTTTCAAGAAACGCTTCCCTAGATACACAAGCTTTGGTTTTTTTTAAATTGAATCAAAACTCCACAAAACAAATTTAAAAAAGACCTAAAGTGAGGGATTTTTCAATAGGTAATGTTGCACCAATGCCCAACCAAAAGGTAACTCCGGTACCAATAAAAAACACAGTGGTTGCTACTGGACGACGAAATGGGTTTTGGAATTTATTAACATTCTCTAAAAAAGGTACTGTTAATAATCCCGTAGGTACTGAAAGCATTAAAAGAACACCTAATATTTTATTAGGCACTGTACGAAGTATTTGAAATACAGGAAAGAAATACCATTCAGGTAATATTTCTAACGGGTGGTTGCAAAGGGATTTGCGGGTTCACCAATCATTGAGGGTTCTAGAACTGCTAAACCTACATTACATGCAATAGTACCAAGAATAACTACTGGAAAAATATATAAAAGATCATTGGGCCATGCGGGTTCCCCGTAATAATTATGACCCATACCTTTTGCCAATTTAGCTCTTAATACAGGATCATTCAAGTCAGGTTTTTTTATTATTGGGATAGGTGAAGTCTTAGAGATCCATCCCCCGAGGGAACCGGACATGATCATTTTTAATCATCCAGCTCGAGCAAGACTCAAACAAATAATTAAAAAAGAATTAATCATTATATGAATGAACAAATACATTTCTAAAGCTAGGTAGTTTATAGGTTATCTTAGAGTCGTTAAGAGTCTTTATATTCATTTATACACAAAAGATAATCTATGATATAGAAATAGTTCAATGTAAAAGAAAAAATTTGTTTTTATCAAGTGAACCTTCTCTAGTCAAAAAATTAAATTTCTTTTCTTATTTGCTTACGCGTCAATACTCAAGACCCAAGTAGGCTTAATTTTCTGATAGGATCAAGTGCTTTTTGGGTCGTCTCCAACCTTAGAATGCGTATTTATCTGAAACTATTTTCAAAAAGTTTTCATATTTTAAGATACGCAGAAAGGTTTACTTGTTACTAAAAAAAAGTCCAGTTTCTTTTCTTCGTTAGATCTCTTGTTTCACTCCGATAGTATTATCGAGATCGGACCAATGGAGAGGAAATGACTCCATTTACAGATTCTATATTAGCGTTTAAAATGTTAAATAAAAATAAAAAGTTTCTAGGATCTTTTTATATTCAATATTGGATTTTACGGAGCCTAATCATGTATAACATGATTTTTATATGATCATAGAATAAATTATCTTCAAGGGAACCAGCTTATCCCTCACATAAGGCTTATGCGCCAATTGGAACAAAGACACATTTGGGTGGTGATAATTCAAATGTGGTAGGCTTATATCTACATGGACCAATCAATAGTTCAGGTCGCACACTCCCATAATCCATTTTATCGTAAAATTGATCTTCAACTTCAAAGAATTCCCCTCGCCTATTTGTGTATTCATGTAAAAAAAAAAGAATATAGGAAGGGTGAAGATAAATATAAAAAACCATTTCTTATTCTTTTAAAGAATGGATTTTTTTTAGCAATGAAATACTATTACCCCTCCTCCAAGTGAGAAATAACATATCTTACAAATTTTTTTTATTTAGGATCTCTTTTTATTTCTATTTTGATTTATAAAGGACCAGAAATACCCTGTTTACGTATCATTGAAAAGTGCATTAACATAAATACGGCAGTAATAAGAGGCAAGACAAAAGTGTGTAAACTATAAAAACGAGTCAAGGTGGATTGCCCCACACTAGCGCTTCCTCGTAAAAATTCTACCAAAGGTGATCCTATTACAGGAATAGCTTCGGGTACACCTGTTACAATTTTCACTGCCCAATAACCTATTTGGTCCCGAGGTAACGAATAACCGGTTACGCCAAAAGATGTTGTCAATACAGCTAAAATTACACCTGTAACCCAAGTCAATTCACGAGGTTTTTTAAACCCACCTGTCAGATACACACGAAATACATGCAGAATCATCATCAATACCATCATACTTGCTGACCATCGATGAACCGATCGGATTAACCAACCAAAGTTCGCTTCAGTCATTATGTATTGAACAGAAGCAAACGCCTCTGTAAGGGTCGGACGATAGTAAAAAGTCATAGCAAACCCGGTAGCTACTTGTACTAAAAAACACGTAAGCGTAATTCCCCCTAAACAATAAAAAATATTGACATGTGGAGGAACATATTTACTAGTTATATCATCTGCAATCGCCTGAATCTCCAGACGTTCTTCGAACCAATCATAGACTTTATTGAGATAGGGTAATTTCCCCCCCCTGAGAACCGTATATGAGACTTTCATCTCGTACAGCTCAACCAAAAATGTCCAAATACTCATTGCGCCGGCCAGACCAACACATAGATTATATTCAATAAAATGCGAAATCTATTATTTCTTATTGATTTTTTTGGCACTAATACAAACATATCAAGTTAGCTCAGTTGTCTTTATTTTTATTTTGACGGGCTTTTTGAAGCTTCTCTTTACCTATCTTTTTTTTTATGGAATGATTCTTTTTTTATTTGTTTTGTTTATTTGATTGGATAGGAATTACCTTGTTAAGACCCTATAAATCGAAAAAAACCTAAGATTCCTATTTAGAACCACGATTAAAAAAATTGAAACGTAATCAAGGATTCCCTGAGTAAGAACCTTTTTAAATTAACTTTAACCATACTAAATAGATGGAATTTTTATTTTGGTCATCCAGAAGGTTTTAAATAATCAAACCTTCTTGGTTTCAAAATTTTTTTGGAACCCGGGCACGAGGTCTTAATAGGAAGTCTGAATCATAGTTCAAATAGATCTCGTGTTTCAGATACTCGAATCCATATCTGACGAATCAAATAATCTCTGGTAAGTAAGATAACCAAATTTTATGGACTATGAATAGGATCCTTTATAACAAGTCACACACTCATATTCCGGAAATGATAGAAATAAATAAATAACACGATCGAACTACCACAATTACATAAAATAGAATGCATTCTAAATCTTAGTTAAAAGGGCGCCGCTTTGAATAAAAAAAGTGGGACTAGGTTTCAATTCATTGAAATTCCATCCAATAAAACGGAAGAATTATAAATCTCTAAAATAATAGATAGAAATATCGCGAATAAACCCATTGCCAAACCCATTAAAGGTGTTGTTCCCCACCCCGGAGCTACTTTACCGTATTCTGAATTCAATGGTTTTAATAAATTACCGATAGTAGTTTGTCTTGGACGATATTGAGAACCTTTCTCACTAGTTTTTGTAGCCATAAATCCTCTTTTATTCAATTTTATTTATTGAGAGATCTGTTAACTTTGTATACCATTGCGTTATAAAGAAATGATCTTAGCATAGATCCTTTGGAGTATTTTAATTATATACTAATAAAAAAATGGAAACAGCAATCCTAGTGACGATATTTATATCCGGTTTACTTTTTAGTTTTACTGGGTATGCCTTCTATACCGCTTTTGGACAACCTTCTCAACAGCTAAGAGATCCATTTGAAGAACATGGAGATTAGTTGAAGTAATAAGCCTCCCCACGGTGGAGGGCTTATTACTTCAAGTTACTATAGCGAAAAATTATTTGATCTTTTTCATTGGTACTTTAGGGGGTTCTCGAAAAAAGATAGCGAAAAATATTATTCCTAGAGTCGAGACTAAGAGGAATGTATAAACCAATGCTTCCATAAATTACATCGTAGTTTCCAATTATAGCTTTCCTACCTATTTTTGTTTTTTTTATCCTATATCTTACCCTATATCTTACTTCGCTTCGGATAAAGAAAGAACGAAAGACAGATATCAAAATAATAGGATAAATGATATATCAGACAGCTTGTCGTCTTGTCGTTGGATCTCCCAGTTTTTGGAATACTCCAAACTCTACTTGCACATCTAAATCTGGGTCAATCCCAGCAAAAACATCTCTGAAAAGGGTTCTAGCACCATGCCAAATGTGTCCGAAAAAGAAGAGCAATGCAAATGAAGCGTGCCCAAAAGTAAACCAACCTCTTGGACTACTCCGAAAAACCCCATCAGATTTCAAAGTAGCACGATCTAATTCAAAAATTTCACCGAATTGAGCGCGTCTAGCATATTTTTTCACAGTAGCCGGATCATTAAAACTTACTTCATTGAGTTCACCACCGTAGAACGCAACAGTGACTCCTACTTGTTCAACACTATACTTCGATTCTGCCCTTCTAAACGGAACATCGGCTCTAACAATTCCATCACTGTCTACTAGAATAACTGGAAATGTTTCAAAAAAAGTAGGCATACGGCGTACAAAAAGTTCACGCCCTTCTTTATCTCTAAAGACAGGGTGGCCTAACCATCCAACTGCTATTCCATCCCCGTTATCCATCGAACCTGCTCTGAATAATCCTCCCTTTGCTGGATTATTACCGATATAATCATAAAAAGCTAATTTTTCCGGAATTTTCGACCAGGCTTCTGATAAACTTTGATTTTCTGCTAGTCCCGTACTAACTCTTCGATATATCTCTTGTTGGAAATAACCTTGGTCCCATTGATAACGGGTGGGGCCAAATAATTCAATTGGGGTAGTCGCCGAACCATACCACATAGTTCCAGCAGCTACAAAAGCTGCAAAAAAGACAGCAGCAATACTACTTGAAAGGACGGTTTCTATATTTCCCATACGTAATCCCTTGTATAGCCGTTGAGGCGGACGGACACTAAGATGGAATAACCCCGCTAAAATGCCCAGTGTTCCAGCTGCAATATGATGAGAGGCTATTCCTCCTGGAACAAAAGGATCAAAGCCTTCCACACCCCAGGCAGGATTAACAGGTTCTACTTTTCCTGTTAGGCCATAAGGATCGGATACCCAAATTCCGGGACCATACAAACCCGTTACATGGAATGCACCAAAGCCA